CACTTTAATTGAAATTTTCCCTAGTTGGAAACTTGTTTTCATAAAATTTTGAAATTTTTAGGACAATAGAGATCAATAGGAGTTTCTTTTTAAAAAAAAAAAAAAATGCAATTCTGGAGTTTAGAATAGTGAATGTAAAAAAAGAAAAACAGGAAAAACATTTGCAGAAAGAAAAAGAGGAAAAGGGGAAGGGAAAGAGAATGAAGAAATCTATTTCAATAACTCGTTTCATACCTGATTAAAATATTTCTAAAATTTGAAAACAAACTAAAAAATGACCTTCTAATTTGCAGACATCATCATCGACAAAGCATTGTTTGGTATAAGAATCCTCAATTGTTGGATCGTAATCCATTACAAAATGTCTCTGAAATTCATCCATACGTAAGCATTAATTAACAAAAATAGTTAACGATAATATCATGAAGAATTTAAATAACGCTTTCTAAAGCTATCGAAAGCTTTCTTTCCTTTATCAATATAAAAATAATAATAATGATAAAAAAGTTATTCAACTAAGTAACAGAATTTTTTCTCCTATTTTCCTTTTTAATCGCCAAATTTTAACTTCTGTTTTGATATTTTTGCATTAGAAGAAAGCAATGACAAGTGTACCAAATGCTCTTCCTATCACTCTAACTTATCATTTATCAGAACTTATCAAAATTCATTACTAATAAGGCACCAGTGATGAATTCATAAAACTACATTAATGTAAATATAAGTTGGAGTATGAAATGCACATTTAAATTTTGTAATATGTTAAATATTCTTTGTTAACAAAAAATAGTATATTAAAAAAAAATTAAAATCTTCATTTTATTCATTTTGCATAAAAAGAGATAAACTCTCAAATGTCTAATTTTCGTAAGAATAAATGAAAGAAGAAAAGCACACTGGTGATAAATTGATAAGCTAATAGAAAGGATAGATTACGTAAAACGTAAAACGTTGTCTTTATTAGGCAAGAACAGAACTGATGGAAAGTTAAACTTTTTAAATTTTTGAAAAAACAATGAACTGAAAATATATGCTGAATCGTATAGTAAATGAAATTTAGAAGATTTTGACAAATTATTAGATCACTCCCTGAAAGAAATCTTCTGTACCTTTCATGATAATTTCTAATTTATATTCATAGCAGCAACAATTACACACCTGTACAAACTGAATGGTTAAAGCGGATTTGCCAACACCGCCACCGCCGACAACGACTAGTCGAAGAACCGGAGGTGACTGCTGCTTCCAACGTCCACCGCCTCCGGAGGACATCGAACATTAAAGATCGCTATTATTAGAGTACGAAGTTTTAAACTCCTTCAAACTGGCGCAAATATTACACTTAAAAGCAGTATCATATTTATTAATAATGCATGACCAGTAGAAGTTTTCAACAATAAGATTTTAAATTTAAACTTGTTAACTAATAAGGTAGGGAAAAGATCAATGAAGTGATATGAAAATGACATTGAACCAAAACGACGCAGCTTTTTCCTTTCTCAAATATATGGAAAACTTGCATAGAAATTTTGACACAAAATTAAAAATATTTTGCAACAAAAATTTTATCCAACAATTTCAAAAATAGCATTATTGAGCAATAATCGATGTGATTTTCTTCAAATAAGGAAGACAGATTGAACGGATCTAACTTATCAAATTACTCAAATAGATCACTTTGATTCAAAAATAACCAATAGATCATATCCTAGATTATGCCATAAGATCAGTGGGAAGTGGTTCACCCGCTTCTCTCCCTAGAGTCGACTACAGGCACACTAAATCAATGGAAGACTTCTGTTACAGGTATGACAATTTTACAGTAGAAAATCTGGGCAGGGCAAGTTCAAACAGCATAAGTAAATAGTTGTAAATGGCAGGGAGACACCTCACCTCGTGGCAGCACCTCCCGGGGTTCACACCGACTATTCTGAAATGTGTATGTTCGATCGAAATGAAAAGGAGAAGTAGAGCTGGGTGGTATATACTACGCCTTTCCAGTCATCCCGTGCTATATATGTGTGTGTGTGTGTGCTTATTGTTCTGAGTACATGAGTGCACCGGTCTGTTTGTTGGCATGTCGTGTGTGTCTGTGTACGTGTCCGTGTGTGTGTGTGTGTCTGTGTACGTGTCTGTGTGTGTGTGTGTGTGTGTGCGTGTGCATACGTGTTCGTATGTGTGTGTACGTGTGTGTGCGCATGCCTTATTGTTCTGAATATATGAGTGCACCGGTCTGCTTGTTGGCATGTTGTGTGTGTGTGTGTTTGTCTGTCTGTCTGTCTCATTTAATGTGTGTTTTTAAAGAAATGACACAAAAATTTAGAGCATAAAGGCCTATTTATTTTTGCAAGTTTTTCTTATCTGTCATTCTATATTTCATGTATTGGCTGCCATGCAAGAATGCCTTAAAAAGTGCCTTAAATCTTCTTTCTTTCACTCTCCAAGTCTCTCTCTTATCAATATACTATTATGATAGAAAGGAAACAAAAGTTTAAAATGCTAAACAGTCGAAATAAACAGTTTATAATCTCTCATTTAGTATTAGTTTGACATGTAGAAAATAATGATTATTCATTGAATGTTGAATGTTGCAGTGATTAGAAGTTATATTATATTATTAAGTAAGTAAGGAAAACGATAATAAATATATATACCGAATTTAGATATTTTATATGGACAATAATAAATTTACTGTGCTAATTAATACCATATTGCTTGCTTACTTAATTACCAAATCAATATTCACATATAGAATTGTTTACTTAACTAGTAGTGTTACAGTGGCTCATTCCAACACCTAATTTAATTCCCATTGTGATATATTCACACATTAGCAGTTGAAAAATGTGGACCGTCGTCAAATTGCACCAACCAATTAACTTACTGTTCAAATTATTGATGGTTGTTTACATTCTCGTACCACACTAATTATTTGTTTGCTTATTTGTCTACAAAAAAAAATGTGCTACTGATGTATTAATGCTAAATGCTATTTGGGCATAAATGACAAAGGCAAGAAGCACCTTCCTCACTTTTCTTTGACCATTTTATAGCAAAGATTATAGCTTACATTTAAAGAAATATTTTGGAGACACAATTGTAATCGTTTACTATTGCCACTAAACATACACTCCCATAAGTGTTACTTCGAAAAGATCACTGATTGCTATAAGCAGTCTTTTTCTTTCTAAATACTTTACTTTTACCTTTTTGATTCTGCATATCACTTCCGGAAATTGTTAAATATTCCCTATGCGACTTCTCGAATGTAAACGATTTCATCCAAAAATTTAATTTTTTTTCTAGCAATTTAATTTAACCTGAAAAATTCAGATTCGAAATTCCATTATCGATCACTAACTTCAACAAGGATTATTCTTTCATCTGCCACAACAGATTATTCGTTTGCAAGAACTAAAAATCACTTAATATAGTGTAAATAATTGATGAAACCCGAGATTACCTTTTCTCACATCGCAATTAAAATTTATATTCTAAAAGCTCTAATGTAAATGTAATTCGATGCAACGACGTTCGTACATTGACAGATCTGTCAAATTTGACCTATGAAATGTTGCAAGGAAGGGAAAAATCGATGAACAAAAAAATGCAAACAAATGGAAAGTTAAATTTCTGGAATTGGCAGAAATGCTACATGACAGATCACGTAAATCCTCCGAATCATTTTTCTACGGTGTACTTCAAATAATTTAAAATCCTGTTCTTCACTATCATTGATGCAACCATAAAAATTTACAACGACAACGAATTTTTGCGACGATGAAATAATGGAAGCGATAAAAAGTAGGGAATCCCCCGGGAACTTTTACAAACATATTTTAAGCTTAAAAAACAATTCCATTGATTAATTCTCATCAGAATATCTAGTTTCTTCATAATGTATGGAAATTCAAGAACATTAATTATATTCAAAATATTATGACTATCGGATAATCTCTAAGGAATGCTTAAATGCTTGAAAACCATATGGTATCAGTACATTATTAATTTACAAGCACCCATAAATTCACTATTTTTAAATATTAAGCATTAATTCATCAACATTATGTTCTTTTATGATTGGCTACAAGAAAAACAATTGTTGATAATAAAAAGTTAAACGATGATATTTGTTGATAAGAAAAGCTGTAATCGATAACGATTCAACCACTGTGGATAATAAGTTAAAGATGAATTTATTCATGAAAGATTCTCTTTAAAGATGAACTTATTCATGAGAAGATTCTCTAAATTCCAGCAATTTTAGCTTCATAAAAGCATTTTGTTTTCATTTCGATATAGCATCATGAATTCATCGAAAAATTGAATACCATTTTCGAGCAAAAAAAAAAGGTGAAGAAAATCGATGATAATATAATGTCACAGCATACACAATATGTAAACAATATTTAGTATCAGAGTATAGTGGTAGCAATCATGGAAATAATAATAGCGCAATGGCAGTAGTAATAATTATCATTATAATTATAATAATAATGGTAATAGTAATAATAATAGCAATAATAATGATAATGAATTAATAGCAACAGTCAAAAAATAGCAATAATAAGAATTAATTGCTTTTGGGGATGCTTACTAGAAGGGTAAAAAGCTCTTTTGTAATGCATTTTTGACAGTTGCAAAAGAAAAAATGGCTTGAGATTTTCTTGTTTTGAAGTTAATTTCTTATTTTTTCTCTCATTCTCCTTTCGGTGATTATTTATTAGTGATAAAATGTATACGACAAGCAAAACTTAATGAAAATTTCAAAATTTATTTATCGAATCTTTACAGAAAGATTAAAATGCAGCATGTCGTAAAGAATTATTTAGGGAATGAAGTATCTGCTCAACATTTCTAAATTTCTCGCTTTTCTTAAAAATTTTAAATAATCACTGATGCATAATGGGCGTGAGATTTTGTTTAAAATTGCCATAAAATTTTCTAGTTTTTAAAATATTTTCTCTTATTTGTCCTGAAATTAAAGTTCTATTGACTTAATGTTTCCTTGTACTTCAAAAGCAATAAAGATTCAAACAGTGGCAGGAGTTGCGACAGTTGCTGATATGATGTATCTGGGAACATTGCTAGTGATAGTATCGATGCTGGTGCCTTGGACGATCGCCGAATTGAATCCGGCAGGTGACGACAGCAGTGATGACGATCGCAGCAAGACATCTCTCGGTGACGGTGTCGAATTCCCGGCTTTTCTTCCTTTTGCTCCTCCTCTCGAACATACTACTTCTCCGGATGCTCCTCCTTCAGTTCCATAATTCTGTGTAACTTCATCTGGAAAAAATACCATCGACATCGTTCTAACCATCAATCACTTTTTTTTATAGCTGCAGCAAAGTTCAACAAATTTTTTAAGTGAAGTGTTAATCATTAATGCCTAATCTTTTTTTCTCTCCAAGTTACTAATTTATTTGATTTTAAATTTATATTACATAATTTAAGTTTCAGTAAAAGACAAGAAAGGAATATCTGTGAAATAAATAATAAGAAATTCTTTTTCTTCATTTTAACTTTTTTTGAATGTATTTTAAGATAATATATTGTAACATAAAAGTGATCCTAACTAGTATTGGGTGATAATTGAAAATATTGGGTGATAATTCAGATTTCATAAGAAAGCATTCAAAGGTCAAAGTAGTAAGAATATTGATATACAAAATGATAAATATCTCTCAAAAATTGGAATAAAACTAACGTTGATGATATTAAATGTGTGTTTGAAAGATGGAAAAATTGTTACGTAACAAACTGATGGTGTATTTTTTGGAAAAAAATTGAAACGTACAATTACTTGTGGACTTGACAAAATGAAATTTATACCGATATGTATATAATAGGTTAGTAGTAATAAAGTTAGTTTATGATTCAATAAGAAATAGATAATAAGTATCTAAGGAAGACATTTTGGCTCTCTGCAAAAAGATTTATTACTCACATTTGGACAGGAATTTGATTACTTTCAGGAAATATCATTATAAGGATGAATAAATTCAGCTTGGTAAGTGTTATAGAATGTTTTCAACTTTAGCGCAAACACTTTTAAAATGCTTCCTGTTTACCTTTTAGTTTGATTGTAAAATCCATCCACTCATACCTAATTAGAGAAACATTGAAGACGAAATTCATCACAATGAAGACACATCGACAAAACAGACGAACACAGACAGTGAATAAAAAGTTCGTTTTTTTTTTCTTTTTGTAATGAATGAAATTGAAAATTCTTTACCGTATGAAATTAATCAATTATTTTTCTAAATTTAATCCTAAATTTCACGAATGAAACCTTAAAGATGAAGAAACTGGGCGCTAGAAGGGAAGTCCCAAATAGAACAAAGAAATTGAAAATTTATCGCACTCTCTAAGGTGTCATTAAAATGAAAACCAAAAGAAAAAAAAATTATAGTCTCTACGTCCCACACTTATTTTATTGCAAATTAAATATAATCAGGGAGCAATCATTTCTGATCGATTCAAACTGTCTTTCGAACTCAATTATGGTCGATAGTGATAAGCTTTTTATGACAAATCGTTACAGTTTAATCATTACATTACTTTTACTGATGTTTTCTCGGCACCGTTTCAGTTTACTTTGATTTATCCGGCAAATTGTCGAATTCTTGTTCGCATGTAATTTATTGGATGAAATTGAAAACTGTGTTTTCTTTTGGAGAGAGTACTGCTACCTTAATTTATTCACTCTTTTAATATAGATGGAGTAATTTTAGAAATGGTAGTTGCTTGAAAACGGAAGCTTATTACGGTTTTAGGAAGTGAAATGGAGGGAAAGAGAGAGAGAGCAGGAGATAGAGAGACTGCTTCTAGAAGGATTTATAAAGAATACACTTCAGTGCACTTATTCAATCGGATAAGCAATCTTAAAGTAAGCAATCTAAAAATTCGGTAAGCAATTTAAATTTTTGCGAAATGAGCTTCATTTGTAGCATTTGGAATGGAACTTTATTGAATTATTCAGTGAGAAGTACCACATAATATTATGCAAAGTGCAAGGAAGCAATCTGAATTTCGCCAATTTGGATAAGCTCTTTCAAATATAACAATAAACAAATAAATAATCATTTAAAACGACAAGCATTTCTCAAATTAGACTGTTGCACTCAGAAAAAGATTAATTTCAGACTACTTTAGAGTGATGCTGTTGTGGTCTATCTAATAGCATTATTTTAGACTTGGTGCATTAATTAATTATTAATTAGGTCTGGAAGTTGGTCATCTGTAATTCATCTTTCTTCTTCATTCTTCTAAATCCTTAACTATAGAAAGAAAACGAGTTCTTTCAGTTCTAATTAGAATGTGTAAAAATACATTAATCACTTTTGGCAAAAAATATTTACAGTTATTAGTTTAATTTGAAGATGAATATTTTACACTAGATAAGTCTTTTAGAACCAAAGTAGATAGATAAATGAGGTACTTTTGGAAAGTTGAAATTTATGAGAGATACTTAAAAAGAAAAGTAAGTGGAAAGTGGGAAAAAACACAATAAAATCATTGAATTGGATAGAAAATGAACAAAGAATTTGCTTTGTTTTGAATGAAAATGAATTGAAAAGAAAAGTGACCAATCCAATAATACACTAACTTTATTCCTTCCTTTCAAAAAGCTCTACACTACTGTTTACAACATCAAAGATAAACAAAAAAATATTTTTTAAGATTTTAAATGAAAAGCCTGGAGAAAAAAATGAGAAGAAATAATCGAAACAGATAAAAGATTGTCTCAAGTTCTTTGGAAAAAAATTCGAATATCATTAAATCATTTGAAAGGATGCATTACAAATGAATCTTATATTAACCGTAAATGCTTTTAATTAGTGTTTTAGATTTATATTGTTTAGTTTCTGTCATTTCTTGTTCAGGAAAATTATTTATGAATTCAAATTATCTCATCTTTTCTAATTATTGAAGCTGAAAGCATCGATTACATATCTATCTGTTCGATCTAATTCTTTCATTTTTTTTTTTTTTTTTTTTTGATATGAGAGAAGGATTTTTAGTGTAAATATAAATTTCACAAAACCAGCGTTGAAACAAAAGATATGAAGAGAGAATGAGAAAGCATGAATATTTGCAGAAAATGAAATACGCAAAAAAATTTTTTTTGATGACTGAAGCGAAGACTTAAATTAGACACAGAAGTAAAAGTAACAAATAATAATTACTAGGAAAAATTGAAGAAAAATCTTTTCCTTGTTATATTCAGAAATAGACGTATTTTTTAATTTATAAGTTTTGACCATTGTTGGAAATGAATATGACTAGAAGATAATATATGAATTGAAAATGCATATAAGGTATTCACTTCGTATCCTTTCGATGGAGTAGACAAAGCGATTTATGAAGAAGACACATCTGGTGAAAATGTAACGAACCAAATGCGCTTTTTTTTTCTTATAACAATGAATTATTTTATGATTGATGGATGAATGAAAGGAGGAAGACATTATGAGCCACACTTTCACAACTAAAAAATTGTCAAAATTGGATAGACATGCTTTTAGAATACTAATTATCTCAATGATATGATAAGACTTACTTCACTTTGGGAATCTATCTATTTACAAATAATTAGTTTCTTTTTCTTTGGAGGGAAAAGAGATGATCGATAATTTTGTTACATAAAAAGAAAATAAACAAAGTTTTGATTAGTGGTCGCTTCCTTTGATTTTGTTAGCTTGAATTCTGCTAGACCATACATTTACCCTTCCCTCCCAATTATTTCTTGAAAAGATTACAGTGGGGGTCATTTTTGTTTTGCAGCTAATATCTTGCTGTACACAGAGTGCACTCTAATCTTTCTTTCTTTTTCTGTTCATTTCTCCTCTCTCTCTCTCCCTCTCTCTCTCTCCACTTTTTAAAATTTCCTTTAGTCTCAACCAATTTTTTTTTCATGCAAAACAAGAAAAGACTTTGAAATGTCGAAATGCTATAAAATTATTCAAATGTCCCAGCTTAGTCGCTTTTTAGTGCTTAGAAGTAGTCTAAACCTATTTAACGTCTAACTTTTAACATTCAAATGATTGATATTAGCCATCTTTAATCTCAGTTTTCCACTACTTCAATAAATTTCAACGATGTAAGCATAACTTTTTCATGAAGAAAACAAAAAATAAAAGCAAAGCAAAAACTATTAAAAAGCAATCAAAAAATTTCTTTTTGAATATTATACATTTCTAAAAGATACAAAAATTCTTCTCTTTTTTCATTTTAATTTTTCCATACAAAAATTATTTGTCAGAAATTTGCGACACATATTGAACAATTTTTTGCTTTCTCAAATTGAGATGAGACATTATGGAAATGCGCAGCTTCTTCCTTCATTTAATGGATAATGACGCAATATGGGATATGTCATAGGTAGGCGTACCTATATTTCCTTCTGCTGTAACTAAATCGTAATAAATCATCATTGATATGAAGTAAACATGAATGACTATGACAGCAACAGCAACATCTGCATATCTTTTTTTTTTTTATTTAAGATTATCTTATCCAAAATTACTTCTATATTTTCTAATAATTTTTCCAAGATTCTTTTTTTATGTATGAATGGGTAAAATTATTATTTAAAATGTTTAAAAATTTCCCAAAAGATTTTAAAAGTTTTCAGATTAATTCACATTTCAGTGAATTCATTCAGTAATATGAATTTGAAAATTCATTAATTATAGCTATTTCTTACACTTAATCATTACTTTATGATCTTTTGTGATAGTTTATATATCCCTTAAAATTTAAACACCATCATGTAAAAATGTAATTTTCGAAGTCGTAAATATTGTATTATTTTTAATCAGTCAGTATTTCGCTAATTTATTGGTGCTATCACTAAATAAGATTAAATGACCAAAGTTAAGGCCATTATGAGGATTCTAATAGATTGGACTCAGATGGTCATTTTCTAAAAAGACACATTATAAAAGTATTCATTGTTTAACTTCCTTACCCTAAAAATCCATAAATCGCACAAAGATCAGGAAATACTCTATCAATGCTAACTAATTTAGTTCAAGAGATTTATGTACTTCAAAACTGGAAAAAAGAAATGTGTTAAATATTTCTACAAAATATCTCAATGAATCAGCAGTGCTCTTCAATCAAAAACAATGAAAGAGGATAAACACGTAAGATCGAAAAAAATATCAATAAAAAAGATAAGTTTAATTTGCTAAACATCAACAAAATAAATTCTTAAAATGATGATACTTTAATAAAATTGAATAAGTGAATTTGCTCAAGTCAAAAAGACATGCGATAAGTAAGGTAAAGAAAATCTGATGTGATGATTTGGTACCATTTTCATGTTTATTCCAACCTGTCTGGCTTCTATCGTATTTTTTTATCATCTAATTGCATATGTATTTTTAGAAAAGTTTCAAATGAACTGAATGATACATTTTTCATTAAATATAAAATTTGATCCGTTCTCCTACTTTCAACCCTACCACACTTATATAAACAGAATGAAGAGAGTGCGACCTTTTTCTTTCTGCCCTTCTCGTTTCGGATTAACCTAATTCTTCTTAGTATAGATATTGTATTATGATAAGGGCATTTCATTAAATCCTACATTGTATTAAACCGATTGTTATTATTATTATTATTATTATTATTATTATTATTATTATTATTATTATTATTATTATTATTATTATTATTATTATTATTATTATTATTATTATTATTATTATTATTATTATTATTATTATTATTATTATTATTATTATTATTATTATTATTATTATTATTATTATTATTATCATTGTCATTTTTATTATTATTATTATTATTATTAGTAGTAGTAGTAGTGTATGATCACTACTGTTATTTTATTATCATATCATTACATTATCACTACATGATCGTCGTTATTATGAAATAGGTGCGTTTTATCAGTACTGCATTTCAAAGAAAGCAGAACACATATTTGTTGAGAAGAAGCGAATATATCACTGATACTTTCATTACTTTATCACTTAACACTTAATCAATGTCAATAACCCTTTCCCTTGTTGTATGAACAACATGGGAAGATCAATGGAAGGAAGCAGCAAGAGGTCGAGTTAAAAAGAACACAAAGTTGAGAAAAGATTGATGCTGTGAGAGTGATGGGAATAAATGAATGAATGTTTTGATGAAATAAAAAAAAAAAAAGAAAGAAAATTAGGCTAATATATGCTAGCATAGAAATGCTAATTTGAAATAAATATAAAAAAAAAAAGCAGAACAGAAGAACGCATTTAAAATTTATCAAAATTTTTTATATGTCATTATTAAGATTATCTATTATCGTTACTGTGGAAATATTGCTAACAATATATTTCAGCTAAATTAATTACGATCAATTAAATATGTTACCATTCAACCGTCTTCGAAGTTCTTCCATTTTATGACAGTAACGTTGATCACGGCTTGGTCGATATTCTTCTATTATCCAATTTTGATTATTAATCCACAAACGATATAAATATCTTATTAAACTAGTGTTTGTCTGAAAAAAAAAAAATAAACTTTGAAAAATTTATAAAATTCGAATAATCTTTTTATATCCACAAACTTTTTACTGTAGTACTCAAGTAATTATTCATAAGCTATTCAAGTAATTCGAATAACACTAGTTTAGAGTAATTCAGTAATTACAGTAATTAATTCTGGATAGTTAGAAGTAATCAAAATAGTAGATAGAATAATTAGCCTTAAAATGAGCATAAATTGCAACAAAAATTGATAGCAAGAAGAGAAATGCAGGAAGAAAAGTGTATGAGTTGAATAAAGTTTCCCATTTGCCATAATTTCCTTTCGTAATTGTTTCACTGAAATTTAATCATAAATATTGGACTTAAAGAAATTTTAAAGTATATTTTATGTCTAATAAACTTAAGCTTAAAGAGACTTTATTTTGTTTCCTGCAATAGCACACACTATGAAAATATAGATTTTTCTAATTATTGATTCCAATATTTTTTATTTTTGCAATTTTTCTTAGAAAAAAAAAACAAAAATTATGAAAAGAAAAAGAGAAAACGAACGGATTATCCTGCATCGTATTATTGTTTCTTTCTAAATTCTTTTCAATGCAAAAACAAATCAGTGATGTAATTGAAGTTAAGAACATTAGCGTTGCAGCTATGATAAACACTATCAGATAACGTAAATCATATCTTGAAATCGATGGTAAACGTAAATTTTGCCACTGAAAGTTTTTGTTATACTTTTTTGTGATTATGTAAAGCTATGAATGGTGCGATGACAATTCGAATGGTTGATATACGCACTTGTTGTATCATTGAAATGAAGAAAAGAAGGTAGATTTTAAATGACTTCAGTATTTTAAATGATTAATACTGACTTACATCAATGATATTTCGTAGGCGGTATTTGTAAAGACAAAGTTCACATATTGCTGGACGCTTCAATTTATGAGCACAAATTGTCAACCAGTGCTGAATAGTATGTTTTGTTTTGAATCGATTTTGAACTATTAAACCAAATTCGTGACAAAAATAATAATAATTGATTGTAATTAAACCTATGCGATGAAAAAAGGAAAGAGACGAGGTGCTAACGCAATGAACACAGAAATTGTTCCATAGCAATTAGGCAAATTTTCATTGAAATTTCCACATTTAAAGTAATTGGTAGAAACTTACTAGGAGACATGATATATGGACGTACTTCAGGGAACCGGTACAACGACACGGGGAAATGAGCGGATCCTCAGAACTACCAAAACTGTGACATATTCGACAAAATTTCTCGATTACCGTTTCATTCGGTGAAAGTATACTGCAATCTGTTACTGTAAGCGAATGAAGTGTACCCGAATCAAAAAGCACCATCTGAAATTCTTTTTATTTCATTATTGAACAACAGTTTCATCAATATTACAGAACTTTTACTGAAAAAAAAGAGAGAATTGATTGATTCATCAAATTTATGCAAATCTCAAAAATTCACCAAAATTGCACAAAAGCATTCATAGATTAATTATAATTGAAATTTCAATGACAAAAATTAAAGCTCGCTATAGTTAATTATATAATTAATTAAAAAATAGATTATTTTGCTATAGATTATCTCTCAGAATATTCCCTTAATTAATATTTCATACTAACCTGATCGGCAAATTTCAGGTGAGTACCATTAACCAATGAATATGCAGTGCATATTTCACAAAATGCTCCATTGTCAGATACATGACTACACCCATTGCATCGCACTTCATTCCGGTCCAACGTCCTAACACACAACGAATAATGACAGTCATCACTAAACCTTCGACCATCATAGCATCCTTTCCTTGCTAAATCTGAAAAATATTCTGAATAGCTGAAAATGAAGTCCGATATACTGTTAAGACTGTCAATGAAATGTATAATTCTAAATTCAGGAAATCTCAAAACACAAAAAAATTTTATACCATTAATTATTACTTTTAATTGAATGTAATAATTTTTCCCGCACTCTTCTGGAAATTCTTCTCTGTTTTTTTTTTTTTCTAAGATTACACAAAATGATATAATTTGTGTTATTGTAATGAAAAGTTTCTTTATGCTTTGAACTTTTACTGTTGAAATAGCATTTGCTGTTTTTCCATTTATAAATTATTTGCTATTGCAATGAAGATTGATGATATTGGGATTTTAACGAAGGAAACAGATGTTATAACGTTCCTCGACTTGCACCCAAGGATCTCGCTTGATCGATGATATCCCATGCATCATTCATCATTAAACTTTAAAGCCTAAATTTTTTAGCTCTCAAATGGGCCATTTTTCACTGCTTGTTACAACTAAATGCAAAATTCTTGCTTGCACTTGCAGGAAAAATTCCTGAATTTAATTTGAGTTGTAAAGTATGTGTGTGTGTGTGTGTGTGTGTGTGTGTGTGTGTGTGTGTGTGACAATTGTTCAATTGTTTGATGTCCTAATTGCAGCTCACAACTCATTAAAAATTAAGCTTGATAATGATTAATAGATTCATGCTTGCTATTACTGGAAAGATCGACAAGAAAATGAAACTAAATGTTTATATGACGAATAATAATACATTTAGATAACTCAAGGGGACGAAGTATGCGGTAGTTGTTGCACAGATGTTCTAAGTAAGTACATTTATGACTATCTAAACTAAGAAATGACCAAAACATTTGAAAGCTTATAATTATTACTCCATTAATACGTTCTATTTACTGTAGTAGAAGTAAGTAAGGAGTAGAGAAAAGCAAAGAAAAGTGAGCAAAATTTTATCTTACAAAGAAAGTCTTTACTAATGCATTTGTACTTTTCTCCTTCAAGCTATTATCTTAAGTTAAAAAATGTTGAGCTCAAAAGGCTCATTTAGCAAATTGCTGCTGAAATTACAATATTATTTGAAGAAATGTGAGAAATGCTTTTATGATTCTAATATTATGATAGTCATGGACTTCATCATACCTTTAAAATTTTCATTGCTTTTACTAGTCTCACCAATTTCATGTAGGCCACCGAGCATACCGGAAATCTAAATTGGAAACAAATTTTAAATTAACAATGAAAGGTTGGAAAATAATTTTTGAAATAATTTTAGTGAAATGAACTGTGTCTTAATATCTTAAATACAAATGATCTTATAAATACCCACCGCTTAAACGATCTTCCTTCATTTTATTTCACTTTTGATCCCTTGATTTGAGCCAAATTCAATGAAAAAACTGGAAAATTTTCAAATTTTGAAACATACCGATTAAATTTGCTTGGCGTGAAATTTTAACAAAATGCTATTCAAAGCAAAAACTCTAAGAATACATACCTTACGTACCACATAACGAGATTGCAACTGTCCGGATGATACTGCATAATCAGAGTTTGAAGCAGTAGGTCGTCGCTAAATTTGATAATAAAAGAATAAGAACAGACCTTTTTCTTTTAGAAGAAAAAAAAGAAGAAAGATCATCATTCAAATTCAACTTGCATAAGCAATTTAATTAGTACTTTGATTTTGATTTTCAGCGAATAAAACTAAATAATAGTTCACACAGTAATTTAGATTTCAAAAGTTTTATTAGAAAAAGAAATGAAAGTGGAAGAAGAAATTTTTCTTTTCATTAACTAATCATAGGCTATCCCTGATAGAACTTATAGACTTATTAAATTAATTAAAAATTTCACAGTTTCATTGCAATAGAAATATATAAGAAATTGTATCATTAATTGTTACTACAAATATTTTTATTATTCGTTCAACTTTTTAGTTGTGTTATTGACCCATCAATTTCTCATTTCATTTTATTGGAAATACATTTTCAGTTCATCGTCAGACTATTATTTTAGCACTTTATCAAGCAGTCGTTAGATTTCGTTCAGATGAGGCAACCAAACATAAAAAATTATTTTGGAAGAGTAATCACATTCATTTCTCTGAATTGCTTCCCACTGATGTATTTCATTGCTTTTTTTGGGTTTTTTTCTCGTTTTTTTTTTTTTTTTTGTTTTTCGTGAAATGAAATTATGCTATTGGAGAACAATTTTTTTTAATCAAAATTTGGTTTTGTCATTTAGATCTGATGACTTTCCTTCATATTGAAATAACTATTTAAGTTTAAAGTTTTACTAAAATCTGACTAAAATGTCTTTTGCAATTTTTTTCTTCGAATAACAAAAGGAAAATATGAAGGAACATTCGTTTGAAGGAATTTTATCAGTTAGCTTTAGCTTTTTTATCGTATTTTATGTTCCGGAAAAGTGGATTAAGAGCAAAAAACTAGGCTTTAATCAACTTTTTTTATATCAAAAATGAAAAAAAAAAAACGAGAAATCTTCTCGACACAAATGGGAACAGTAAATTTCAACGATAACTGAAACTAAATAATTAAATGATTTTTGACAGAAAAATGACCTAAAGAACTATCAGTGAAAATTTTTCAGATATTTAATTCGTAATCAATCTAACGGATAGTTCTAAACCATAGAGGTTAGTAAAAAGTACCTTAAATAATTATATTAATCATCAAAAATGATTTTATTAAAGATCAAATAAGGAAAATAGAATGGGTCATCATTTTAAAGGCTCAGCTTGGATGAGAAATCAATTTTGCATAATATAAGTGATATTTTTCCCCAGATTCTCAAAAGTTATTTCATTTTTTTATGAGTCTATGCCACTATTATTTAGTTCTTTCAAATGTTTTTAGTTGCACTGTTTCTAATTTGTGTACATAATTTATAGTATTTAAAATGCATATCGGGAATTCATGTCTGGAAACATTGTTCGTATGAGAGATAAATTTATCAATCATTTTAAACTTAAGTGGAAAATGTTCGGTAACAAATATATTAATTGACATTTGGTATAATTTATGATAACAGATTCAGAAATACTTACTCCTTTTCCACCGGTAAATCCTGAAGATCCTGATGCATTGTACATTGCTTTCTTTTCAGTCAAACAATTATTTTTAAGGCACAAACTGAAATTTATCCAAAAGCAGACCATTGATAAGAAAATGGTCATAGTTTATCATTAAGTGATAAGCAGAACTCTTGATCAATATTCCACGTTTAATAACACATTTAAGGGTACTTAGTTATTTATGGTTGATGTAAATTGTATAGTACAAAGTAAAGTAACAAAAAAGCGATTTCATTTACGCAATAATAAACTTTGATATTTACGTAGTAATAGACTTGTGTGATAAATTTGTATAAGATTACTACCTACTTATCTACCTACCTATATAATAACATCAATAGTATTTAAATTTTGTAAGCTAAAATGAAGTAAGTAGATTTGGAGAAGAATAAACTACTAAAGAAGAAATATGTGACCGATCTCGAGAGCATTTAGTCTCAATATTTTTGTTTGGGTTAACGATTGCAGAAGTGGCAGAAAGAAGAAGTAAGGCAGTAATCCTTTGAGAATACTATGTCTTTTTGTGTTATTTGGCAATAATATAAAGTGAAATGAATGAAGAAGGAAGGAACGGTTCGTTTAGGTTTAGGAAGAAAGGAAGAAAGGAAGCGCAATAGGGCGGTCGACCCGAGGGCGCAAGACAAGACTTTAAAATGAACTCAACCGTATATTTATCGTATCAAGCAAATTATTGAAACTATAATAAATATGAAGTGACTATTGCTTCTCTAAGAAGGCTTAATGGCCTCTCCTAAGCAAAGCCTTTCGTTTCCTCATCCTATCAGTCGGTCAAACACGCCTCATACATACATATGTATACATACCTTAGCGCAGTGTATCTGTATTCTATTGCTCTATTGCAATAAGCTATTGAAATATAAAATGATAAATCATTGATTCAATTGACCGTTAACATTGGACATATTGAATTTTGCCTTATAATTAAAAGTTCAGGATGGCGTGTACATATTGATTACTTCCGGAAAATGGTCGATTAAGTCTCGATATAAATGACAATAGAAATATTTCATGCTTACTGAAAAAGAGAGAAAATTATTTATATTCAATGTAATGTAAACCAATTCCTTCAACGAATTAAAATATCTGATTTCTCAATTCAAAATGTTTTCTTTTTTGACTTATCTAAAATTTGCATTTATCATTTCAACTTAATTTTTATCCTCTTTCAGCTCTTTAAAGTAAGTATTATCTTATAAATCATTTACTTCTGTTACTACTATGTGGAGATTCAATACATCTTTAGTTCGGACAATTTATTTTATTAGCTTAATCCAAATATTTGGAACGTCATCTTTATATACTGTAAATTTGATTTATAGATTAAGCTAATTTTCATATTTTTCCCAAAGTTTTTTTTGTAATTTTTCAAAAAATTATTTTTATATAATATTTATACTGATAAATGAAAATTAGCTTAATTAAAAAAAAAAAGAATTCTTTTTAAAACAACAAAGACAAAAATTTGCTTTTGTGTGAAAAAGCAGAATTGTTAATTATTAGCGCAATATTTGAAAGTTTTTAAAAGCTCTTTTAACAAATCCATAAAAAAACCTCTGGCAAGAATTGAATGAAATTCCTTATCCAACTGAATTTTTCTATATTAGACAATGTACATTTTTTCTGCCTTTTTATGAATTATTGATATTATACAGTCTAAGATAATAACTTTTGTAACATTTGCGCTTTTTTTTTGTTCATTTGTCAGTCTTTTTTCTTATTTGTCACCTTTCAGCTATTAATTAATAAAACATAGAAAAAGATAATGATAATAATGTATGATAATAATGATAGTTGCCAAAATGGAACTGATTTAGAGCTCATATAAGAATTAGCCAAGAAATGCTTCTGTTAGTTTATGGCTTAGCTTGCCTAATTGCATGCGAGAAGAAAATCATATAACAAAGAAAGCAAAGAAAGAAGAAAAAAATTGAAAACTCTAGAGGATTGGACAAGCTTTTTTCTCTCTGACAATTATTGTGGCCCATTTATAGCCTTCAAATTGATCTTCAAGATTGTGCTCAGGGATTAATGCTAATAATCAACATACTTCAGATGAAAACTAACAAATAACAATTGATCGATATTGTTAAGAGTTTATTAATAAAATCTACAAATCACTTGTAAACATATTAAATTTATGTTATGCAATATTAATTTTTCATACAATACATTCCGGAATGGTGTTATATTTTCGGAAGACCGTCTCAATGATCCCATGTCGTTTTTTTTTTTATGAAGAAAAGCGAAAAGTAGTAATATTTTTAAAAAGGAATGATTGTAAACTAAAGTATTAAATTCTAAATAGCTGGCAGCTATGTCATTGGCTTTGAATTTAGAGCCAAACTTTTGAGGCGTTTACAAAAAGCATACGTGAAATTTCAATCCTTTTCTTACTATTTAGCACTATTTAATCTAAACTGACTTCAAACTAACTGAGATTTGAATTGCTCAAATTAGTTTAGGCCTTCCAAAATCCTTTAAGAAAAAAAAAATTAGGCTTTCCAAAATCCTTTAAATTATTGGACTGTCAAATCACATGTCATCATTTAATTTAATTTATCCAAACAAAAATCTAGAATATAATTTATATTTCACGTTAATTCAAGCTATTTCTATCTGTTTTATGTGAGTTATTTTCTTCAAAAAAATTTTTTCTTTAGATTGCAAATTTCAAAAAATTCCGTAAAAGATGTTATATCATCTTATGAGATTAGGCGGAAGCTGTATTGCTGGGGTGAAATAAAATCCATTTTCCTAGAAAATAATTCAACTATTAAATGAAGCTCAAAATTATGCAACAGATGATATCGATGATATTCCATTGTATCATATCACTATAAATTCTAAGATATAATATCAATAAATTCGAATGTTTCGTGTTTTAAAAAAATAAAAATGAAAAACTTTAAAAGAATTCAATTTGTATTGAGAGTGAATTAAAAGACCCAAATAATTATTTCTTTTTTATTTCACTCAATAATACATTTTGAATTTTTATTGAAGCAATTTTTGTTGTTGTTGTTGTCATTGCTATCACTTATGCTATTTATAAATTAAATTAAGAAGTTATTTGTTCTCTTATACCTCTGTCCTTGTCACAGTAATACTGCAACAGCTAATAATTTCAAATAGTTTCCAAAACATATGTCAACTTTTCGAGAGAATGAGAGCTACCCAGAATTAGATATCGATCGACATATCTTTTTTCTCAAACTAAAAAGTTTTCAAAATAAAATATAGCAAATTTTAGCAAAAATAGTGACAACTAAAAAATCATAAGCAAATAACAGGAATCAACACTGTATCGGTAGAGCGGAAGGTAGTCTCAAAATAATAACAAATTACTGCATTGCTAGAGAATGTTGTTTGTGACAAATTTGACAAGTGTGACAAGATACTTGTATCGACAAATTTGAGAATTTATTTGTGACAAGCATGATAGCATAAAGAGAATTGAAGTTTTAGCTTAATAACAATATAGAAGTTGGACAAAATATAAATGCTTAATCGGAATGATTTGATTACAATAATTCAATGTAAAATTAGATCTATTCAATGAGTTAAATATAAAAAGCGATTGTTAATTAGTTAAATTCTTAAAGGAAATAAAAAAAAATTGAAAGAATTCATTGTGAATGACAAATTGACTGTTTTGATACCGTAATCTGAACAGTCCTATCTACCCCCTCTGAATTCGATTTCATTCTCTTCTTTCTCGAGGGATTTCAGCTAATGTGAATTAATTCATCTTTGTTCATCGATATTCTCCTCTTCTCTCTTCACACACTGTTTTCATTTAACTCCATAAATCAGCAAAATGAAAACTTCAGGCGAATACAATTCAGAATATTCATCTCACCAATATTTATGATGATTAATCACAAAACAATGACAATACTTGTTGTTTCATTTTGGAAATCTTTTAGAAAAAAAAAAAAACTAATTCTAATTACAAACTAAATGGGCAATGATTCACTTCATTCTTGTTAATGAAATATTTCAATTTATTCAATTTTAATTCTAATTCAACTTCATCCATAATTTTTCTTTTTTTTTGAGTTCATTTTTCAGTTCATTTTTTTGCGATTATGTCGACATTCTGTGCAAGAAGTAAGTTTACCACTAGCATCGCAATTGATTTTAGATATCTTAAATTCTCTTACCAAAAAATTATTTTAGACAGATTGTTGGAAAATTCATTGTCACAATTTGACTTGAGAACACTTTAGCTATCAAAAAAGAGCTAATAGCTGTGCTTTCTACTCAGACAAGCAAAAATTTATTGTTAAATTCCTATTGCTTTTCAATTCCTCACAACATAGTGCTAAATCTCAATATAAATTACTGAAATAGTAAATTAGATTAGATCAATGAATACCAATATTAATCAATGAGTGCCAATATTTTAGAATGATTACCGACAGATTATTTTGACGACACTGATTTGATCAATTCTATGATTCATGAAATTGCATAAATGAAATCTGTTGAAATGACTTAACACAGTGTCAAATCTTAAATATTAATTTCAGATTTTAGTTATGAAAATAATTTAAAATGTAAAAAAAAAAAATAAAATAAAATCTTTGAATGGCACTATCACTAAGAAGCAAAAGCTTCCATTTAGAAATGAAGTCGTTTAATCTGAATCATAAAGACATCATTTTTTTGAATCATCAAAACAATCCGTTACTCAGTAATTTTGTTCAATAATTTTCCTAAATGATCTTAATTATGGATGAAAAAAAAAACTGACAGTTACTTGCATGCTGCAAACAAAGTAGTAAAATTTGAAATAATTTATATTAGAAATAGAATATTTTAATTGCAGATTATCAGTAACAATGAACTGCAAAAATACATTAAAACAAATTTAATTTCCTTCGATAGAATAATATCTGAGAATATTTTGATTAGTTAAATAACTTTTCGCACTTTAAAATTAACAAGTTAACTCGTTAGATAATAGTAACACATAGTGAAATTGATTTGTCTCA